AAGGGAATAAAACAGGAGTAATAGACCATGTGGCTCACTCTCTGAGGATTAGTGGGTTGCTCTTTTTAAAAGACCTTGGATCAGACTAAGACATTGTGTTATGATCCAAGATACACAGGGCAAAGGACCCCTTCTCACCATTGAGTCCAGTCAGTCTGAAAGTGGAAGGAAGAAGCAAGCAAACAGTTAATGGACCTATTGACCTGCTGTATTCCTCAGAGAGAAGCTGAAGTTGAGCTTGACCAACATTCCTCTTTTAGTGACAAAAGGAACTGAACAAGCCTCTTCCAGTAAGTCTGTCACCTGTCACCTGTTGCTTTTGACCAGCAGCTGCACAATCAGATTTTAGGTGGGTGACAGGTGTTAATTATTTTTGAAAGAGAGAGAGAGAGATTTCTAAAAGGAGTATAGAATCCAGAAAATAAGAGGATATTTTGTTGTTCCATTTCATTCACTCTCCAAAAAACCCCAGATTGGGCATGGAAACATGAAACTTGATTCTCTACTTTTGTTAGCAGGGGACACTGGGGGTTTTCTGCTTCTTCTGGCCAGCAAAGTCTGTGTAAGGTGCAGATCTCTGCAGCTAAGAAGTGGTGCCCCTCTCAAATGTGGGTTATACCCTTCTATGTTGATGCAGACCCCAGTTGCTCACCATCAATTCCTTCTTCCTGGGATCTTTCTTTCAAATTAAAAGAATGAACTCTGTAGACCAGGAAGAGTGGTAGGATTTATTGAAGAACAGGTATATAACTCTTGCAGTGCAAGAGGGGACCTGATAGCTGGCTTTCTCTGACCAAGTGTGCTAGTCTAGGGGTTTATATTGCCCTTGGGTCACTGTGTCGTGTCCAAGATTATGCTGGTTAGGCTCTGGAAACATACAAATGCTATTGGTCCCAATTTATGCTAATTAGGGTTTGTAAAAGCACTAACACTATTAGTTAGCCCCAATCCCACTCTGGTTTTCCTCACTTTTATTTTCTGTATGCTTTGGGAAGCCAGAATTTGAGTCATTGAATTGTGCATTCTTAGTGGTGTGTCAGGAACTGCAGGGCCTGTGTGGATTGTGCTTCTGCAGTGGGCATCACCCATGTGTGCAGGAGGGATCTTACAGGGTGATGGATCAGCTTGCCCCAGCTCACCTCAGTGCTGACAGATGCTCCAACTTATGTGGTCCATCACTCCCCTGTTTGCTGGAACTTGTTGGCTGTGACCAGTAGGATGACTGTCTGGCTTGGCATCTGAGGAGTAATGACAATAGACAGAATGTATCTTGATTGTGTTGTTAGTTGAAGTTTCAAAAGGTGCCATTATTTCTTTCCCTAGAAACCAAGCCTTGTCCACCTATGCAGGAAGTCCTTTTTCATGCTGAAAATTTGTTTGGCCTGGCTATCTAGCCTCTTCTACAGGATCAGAAAATAGCCATCTAAGTAAAATGCCATCCCCATGGCTAATTCTAGAAAATGCTCTGATGGTTCAGAAGACTGAAGGCTCCAAAGCATCTCTCCTAAATGGGACAGAAGAGAAAGGGCCAACACTCTCCAAGAGGCATTTAAGAAAACTTTGGGGGCTTAGGTTGTGGCTCAGTGATAAAATGCTTGCCTAGCATGTTTGAGGTCCTGAGTTCAATCCCCTGCACCATCAAAAAAGAAACAAGAAAAAAGGAAAGAAAAAATTGGTTTCCCTGTCTTTGAAATCCATGGCTGCCCTAATTATGTCACTGTGACCTAGCATTATATTTGGTCACAGTGTATTTGAGAAGACTCCATCCTTCAGTCTCTTTCAATGATTCTACCATTTTGAATCTCCTTAGCTGTCCTTTGTCTGCTGTATTAGGAGCCTCTTTCCTACCCACACCTCAGAGAAGTCCCACAGATATCTGGAAGAATACTGTGTGTACTTGAGCCCACCTTTTTTTTAAGTAAATGAGCTTCCTTCCCATCTCCTTATGCAAAAATGCCTGTACCACTTCCCCTTGTGGTGAAGCATAACTTCTAGTGAGGCCTCAAGTACATGGTTATATTTAACCTATCCATGTCTTTTATCTCAAGTAGAGCAGGTGCAGCTGATTGTACTAAGAACTGGTAACAGTAAAAGCTGCTGGCACTGGAAGCAGACCTGGCAGGTCACCCTGAGGACAGTTATGAAAGAGAATAACAGAGAGCAATGGAGAGCTGCAAAGAACTGCTATGTTTGGCTGTTGAAAAAGTTCCAGGGAACTGTCAGTAGCTGCTGGCTCCTCCTGTCAGGAGCTCAGTGGCAAAGCTGCTCCCACTGAACACTGAGGGTCACTGGCATTCACTCTTGGGGCTGTGAATGCTAATATCTGAGAGATGTTGGCCCTGGAAACTCAGAGCAGATAATATTATGGGAGGTGCATTTTGCCTATTTGTGGTTGCTCTCTAGATGAATATTTGAACCCTCAGCCAGTTGGTAACAGAGATGGTTATGGGACACAGTTCATGAAGGGATGTACAGAGATAGCCCCTTAAATTAACTGAGGCCATGGGAACAATGTGATAACTGGGTTTCTGTTAAGCTTTTTCTTCCAGGATCAATGGAAGATGCAGGCTAAATATGGAGGCAAGGGCTTGGCCCCGCACCTTTGCACCCTGAGGAATGGAATCTGCAGATACCTCCTCCTTTCAGTCCTCAACCCACAGAGTAGCACAGACACCACAGTAGAAGGCAGTAGCCATGAGAACATTTCTTTACTAAACTATTTTTCTTCACTATTGACAGTCAACTCCCACGATGTATAGCTTTGTTCCAGGTATACCTCTCTCCCTTTCCCATCTCAGTTCCCAACTTTTGCCTTCCTCTTACATTCCCAGTGCCCTCTCCTTGCCCTCCCTTTTCTGAGGACTATCAGGATCAGTTCTCAGTGACAAGTATCTCTGCCATTGTGTTGCAGGATGTAATGAGGGTGAGATCTCACCAAGACCCTACCTGAGGAGTTGGCTCACCAGATACCTATCCTACTGTCTTCAATGCCTCTTCTTCTTTCTCTAGGGTCTGATGACTGACACTTCCTCTCAGATGCTGGGCAAGAGGAATCAGACTCAGAGCTACATGTTTCTCTCCATTGACCTAAAGATGAGACCCAGAATGGGGTGTCTTTCTTGCATGCATTGAGTGTCAAACTTTAGCTTACTTCCTAGATTGGCATCAGGAGGGGGATAGGGGATGAGGACTCTTCTTTGAGGCTGAGTATCCTGCGGTGCTCAGCCTCCAGGGATGAAGGGGTCTGTGTAAAGGCCATGGTCTGGGACAGTTTGCAGCACAGCAGAAGGTGCTGGGAAGCCAGGAGGATGTCCAGGATATGGAGGGTCATGATTGTCCTCACTAAACACCTCTGCTTTCTCATGTGGCTCCAGTAGGAGAAGTTCTGCTGGGACCCACTGCCCTTTTCTGGTCCAGGCTTAGGGAAGAGATTCTGTGGTCCAGGGGAGAGTTGAGAACCAGATGGCACCCATTGATGAAGACTCACCAGAGTGCAGGAAGATATCAGTGTGCTTTCATTATAGGACCTAGGTTGTGTGACCCTGCATCTCTTAATTTCCTATGAGGTGACCCCTCGGGGGCCAGATCTCCATTTAGGCCTCATGTCCAGTGCTATCACTATGTCCCTCTATACCTTGGCTGACAGCTGATTTAGAAGCACTTTAGTCAGGGTACAACATAACTTTAGGGCACCTACACCGATCATTTCTTCTTTGAGGGCAGGCAGTAGGTGCTTTTTCACCAGCTGCAGAAGGGAAAAGAGCACTTGCTCAGTCTGCATTGGGCATGAGGGTAGACAGAGGGACTGAGGGGATGTGTAGATATGAAAGGGAGGTGTCACCTGCCTTGGTGTCAGACTGAGGTTCTGATGGCCATTCTGCTGGGTGAGTCCTCCTGGTCCAGCTCTTTGGTTAGGGTCAAGATATCCATGTGTACTCTTACAAAAGCAATACTTCCAAGAAATGAGGGTGTGGAAAAATGAAGCCTGCACATTGAGGAGAAGAAGAAATTGTGTGTGGCCTTGGTAGGAAGTGTCCCCAAGCCCAAGACACCTCTGGGACTTATAGGAAGCATTGATGATGTCTTCCTTGTTCACACCATGGGGTTGTTAAATCAAGACCATGAGCTACCTCACCCAACAGACAAACAGTGCTGAGTATCTAAAGAATGAAACATAATTTCATGAGTCTGGGCTGGCTTTCCCAAAGTCTTGTAGACACCTGGATTCCCAGCCCAGCCCACCTTGGTGAAAAAGTCCTCTTGGAGCACAGCTCATCAGTGTAGGGCAGGAGGTTTGTATCTTGGTACAAGTTGTCCCCCTTTAGATGTCATTCTATTTCATTCATTTCCAAGTTTCCCATGGACTCCTCTATGGCCAAGTGTGGGGCTATCCACATGGTGAAGTTGGCAGACCCCACCAGATGTTCATAATGTCCACATATACCTTAGTGGCTTCAGGTGTGATGTAGTCAGAAATCTTGGTCTCTGGATACCAGCAGCATTAGACTTCTGGTGGGTGAGCCTCGGGGCCAGTCTTTCTGGCAGTGCACACTAGGATAGAGGATAAGAGTGTGGTGTATACACAGTGGTTCCAGCTGTGCTCCAACCATTTGGTGGAAAAAAGTTTTCAAGGGACCTAATCTGGTTCAGGTTGGCCCTGCACATTCTGACATCAGAACCCATGAGTGGAGACTCTGCATCAGTGGGGCAATGTATGTTATGTGGGAGGACATTTTGAGATACCCATATTCGATATACTTGGGCCACACACACAGACTCATGTCCTAGGCAGATGGTGTGTTGACTCTTCGCATAGGCAGGGGGAGAGAAGTTAGCACCTTGGACTAGGCAATATCCACTTCAGATCCAAGGGTAGCTGGAATCCCAAATGCTCAGGGGCTGTTCTACTGGCAACTGAAAAAAAATATTCACATGTGTGACAGCAGACTCCATTATCACTTTTTTTTTTAAATCATGAATTTCTATGGGAATGTGTTTAGCTCTCTCTTGCTGCACAATCGCAAAGACTGGAGAATATGGAAGATTGAGCCTCTGTGGGATTAGAAGTGTCTGACATTGGAATCTATCATCAACTGAAGCCTTCGGTCCTCCATCTCTGAATCCTCAAACTCCACAAACCTGACAGGTAAACAAGATATAGAATTATTTTAAAAAAAGGGGATTTCTCATTGGAAAACCCAAGCTGTAGCTTCATAGCAATGAGGATCTGGTAGCAGGGATGGGGAGCAGTTCTCAGACCAGGGGCTGGGCTGGTCCCAGGAGAGATCAATTCCCAATGCAGAAACAGTTCTGGGTGCTCCTGACATCACTTAGTATCTGAAGAGAACCACGTATGCCTTAGTGAACCAGGAACATTCCTTTATGTATCCTCCCACCCTTATTCCAGGCTTCTTATATCCCTGCCCTGAACCACACAGAAAAGCCAAGCATCAGCATCTGGTCAAAGATATGATTTATGTAAGACAACTCTCCCTCTCTATGAATGGTGTGCTTAGGACTGTATACCATAGAAGAAAGACCAAGGGCATAAGACTCAGGAGAGGTCATGATAAAGTCGAAGCTATGCTGAAAGTATTGGAATACCTGGGTTCCCAGCCCAGCCCACCTTCCAAAGAGGGCTGTATTTTATTTCTTTGTTTGAATGGCGAGAATTAAATGGATTATGAGGCCAGAGGTGTTTGCTTAGGGCATCTGAGACACTGGCTTTCCCTGATCATGTTTTTTTTAAATTCTAAATTTCTTCTGGAACATCAGGGTGTTATTGTGGCATCTTTCATGAGCAGGGGTGATCCATATGATGTAAGACAGTTTATATTTCAGGTGGTTTACCAACACCAAGCTAGTGAAACTTGTACCCTGTGGACAGACCTCACTGATGATGGACATCCCCTGAACAAGGTTGGTTACTCATCCATACCCTAACCCTGAACCTCTAAGCAGTGGTGGAACTAAGAATGTTGAGGCCAGAGCTTCCAGAACTATTAGAGAGTATCCAGCCCTCTAGGTAGAGGGAACAAATGCTTGGAGAGGAAAGTGTTCAGTGGTTTTCCCTGTGGTAGCAGATGCCCTTCCTGGCTGGGTGAGAAGCTCCAACAGAGCCAGCTGTGCTACCCATGTTCCCTAGCACTTAGGTCTAGTCACAGATGTCTGACACACTTTTCTGCCATCTCATAGATCATCTGGTCAAAGGTATGCATTGACACTTCTGCAGACCCCTCCACAGTCCCACCTCCAGATTCATGGTAGGCTCAAGTCCAGATAGAGGCCAAAGCACTGGCCTGGGATTCATCAGGATCAGTCACAATCCACAACCCATATTTCATTGCAAGTTGACCTGACCCAACACATGCCTTGCCTTTGCCTCTTCTGTCCAGTCACTTTGACCACCCCATGTGGGCTCCCTGCATCCAGAACATGCTCTCATACTAGAGAGAACATCAAGTACTGTACTGGAATCTGACTCTCCCTTGAGTTCTTGATGTTGTTGTGTATTGTGACATGAATGTTTTTGTCCTCCAGAATTCATGCATGAATGTCCTAATCTCTCATGTGATGGTATTTGGAGATGGTGGCTTCAGTGGTTGTTAGGATTTTAATGGGGTCATGAGGGTGGAGTTCCCATGATAGTAGTAGTGCCCTTCTAGAAAAAGGAAGTGACGCTAAAGCTCTCTTAGCCATAGGAGGTCACAGGCAAGGCAGCCATTTTCTCAAGCCTGGAGGCAAGCACTCACTGTACATTAAATCTGGCACCATCTTTCTGGAACTTCCCAACTTCAGAACTATGAGAAATGAATGCCTGTGGTTTCAACTGCCCATTCTGTAGCAGTGCATATGGCAGCCTGAGTTGAGTGAGACAGAGTACATAGTGCCCTTGGAGGAGAATTAAAGCCTGAGACGATGATGTACATCTCCACAGAGGATCCCAATGGAAAGAGTACTCACTCATGAATTCTGCACCATCTCAATATCCTAAACAGAAATTCCCCAGAACAATGTGGTTGGATTTCCAGAGAGATCTGTACTGGTGCCTCCCCTCTATCTCCAACACTAGTTGTGATGTTGCCTTCCATGAACAATCAGGTCTATGCTAGAAGGTGAAAATACTAAGTGAGGGACAATCATATGGAGTCAGAGAACCAATTCAAAATCCTGGCTCACATTACTTCCAGGAACCTCCTGTGACCTTACATCCCCTGAGTGATGGTGATGCTCATTGGGAACAAAGATTGCTGTACTCACAGGGCTGTGATGGCCACCTGAGATAAGGTCCATTTCCTCCCCTGGTGTGAGATGAACATGGCTGGGAATGTAGGTCTCTCAGCTTATTCCTCCACCCTCAAGATGTTTCTTCCAGTTCCCCTACATCCCAGCCTCCTTTCTTCATGCCACACTTTTCCTCCTTTCAGAGCTCAAGGAGAAGTTCTCGGTCCCTGGGGAGAACACTCACATGAGGAAGCAGGAAAGTGCTTCCACATCGGGAGTCTGAGAAGGTGCAGGTGGATCAGGATCTTGAAGTGCTGTCAGTGCTAGAAGTTTTCATAGATGTTCTGTCATCCACTGCAGTTATCGGAAGGTGGGCATTGCACACTCCCCAAACACTACCTCTGGCCACTGGTGGCTATTCATGGGGAAGATGATGGGGGCTGTTGGGAAAATGGAGGTGGTGCTGGAGGTTGAAGACCCTGGTGCCCGTTCCCCCACTGGCTGAGGCAGGCACAGGGGTCCTCCAGGCAGAAGCTGCTGTGAGGAATGGAGCAGGATGATCCACACCACCTCAGAAGGCCCCTGGGGCCCTCCAGTTGAGGAGTGCCTGAGTGAGGGCAACCTTCTGAATGTGGCTCTCCTGGTCTCCATCTGGCCCATGTTGACCAAAGTTGAATAGCCCAGACACACACACACAGCAGGGACACCAGCTTCTGCTGCCATTGATATTTCAGGATAAGCACACTGCACCAGCAGGTTCCCCTGGGAGATTGGTGCAATTACAGCAGGCAACATGATCAGCACCCAGAATACCTGGTGTGTAGGCACAGGAGCATAGGGAAGACAGAGCAGTGCTCTGAAGGGAGACAGGAGAACCAGGTTCTGCCTGGTCTCAGCATTCAAGATGCTATGGAAGCAAAGTAAAGGGGAAGTGGCAGTAAGAGTGAGACTCCCCAGCCTTTGTCACTGGGCATCTGAGAAGGAATGGCAACAGCTCAGGGTCTTATAGGCAGGAAAATCTTGTGGTTTGCAACTTTTTTTAAGTGAAATTTAGGCTTCCTTCCTCCAATCAAAAGTTACACTCAGAGAAATCTTGATCCCAATACTCAAAGATTCCCTGAACATGGTCTATAGTGACATCTCAGCTTTTCCTGACTTAGAGGCCCTTGGCATCCTTTGCTGACAATGGATTAGTGTACAAGGCATCTTTCTGGAAACTGACTCTGCTGAGTGGCACCATTCCTCTCAGCATTCTCACCAACAGGAAGGAGACCTCCCTTCTCCAAAAAAGTTCCAGGCACTCCAAAGTCCGATGTAAATGTGACAAGTTCATAATTTATGGCTCCCTCACCTCCTTAGCCTTCCTTTTGCTGATTCTCCTTGGAAAACCCTCAGTGTTTTTTCTTAGTCTTGCACAACTAAACAAAAGCAACTGAGTGAAATGTCTCCCTAGCTAGAGCCTGAGGAACCCTGAAGGTCACCAGGAGCACATCATGCCCAGAGTGTGGGTACCTCTCCCAGCACTTCTAACCACAAACACCAGTGGGGACACAGATTCTGGCACCTCAGTGTATCTGTAAACAGAGTTTTCCCAAGAAAATTCTTGACACGGCAACAAGTAAACTAGCACTTGAATATTTTGGCTGGAGGTGCACAAGCCATGGTCGCAGAACTGTTCTCAACTTGAAATGAATCAAGGCGGTGGACCTAAACTGTACCAGTAGAGATTGTATTTGTCCCACCCACCAAGCTGCATGAGAAATGACAATTTTAGTTAAAAATGTCCTAATAAAGTAGAAAGAATGTCAATCATTCTTAACTCTTGAACCATGGGAGATGCAGTGCTAAAACTGAACACCCAAGGGCCACACTTGCACATATCAAATAAATGGTGGGAAGAGTTGATAGGCACAGAGATATTTGAAAAGTGGTGGGAAAATATATGGGGGAATGGGGTTGATAGCTAAAAGGTAAGAGATTTCTTTTTGAGCTGATGGAAGTATTCTATATTTTATTGTAGTTGTTAAAGAAATGTCTGTTGCCGATATGGTGGCAACGTCTATGAAAACTTTAGAATTCTAATATTTGATGGGTGATGTGAGTTATGTGAATGTCTTCCTTAAGTTATTTTGCAGTGACCTGTAGCAAAAATATTAAGATGTTAGCAGACAATGCCTCAGATGTTTGGCCAGCATGCCACAGCCTGGCCAAGATTCTAGGAAACAGGAGACAGTGCTGGCCAGTTCACAGAGATCAGGAGGAGGTCCTTAAACTGAGTTTCAACAAGGATGCAGTTACCAAAGGGGGCCCCCACAAGGGCCCAGCCCCTGTGGTCACTGTCAGAAAACACAGCTTTTCATTAATGGAGGGAATGGGTCTTGGTGATGTCAGTTGATGACTCCCTAGTGTGCTGTGACTTCTTCCCCTAGAAATCAGGGCTGGTCCTCTCATCAGGCCACCTACTCAGGAAGACCTTGGCCATGCTGGGGTTCCATCCATCCTCACTGTCCAGCATCACTCAGGAGAGGAGAAGAAGGTGTCTTCAAAAACACTGTTTCCAGGTTTACTTCTAGAAACCTGATTAATGGCAGAGGGGCCTGAAGGCTCAAAAGCTGGTCTCTATCCAACTGAGACAGGAGGGCTCAAAGTTGTCAATAGGTACTTGATGAAAAATTGTGCCCTGACTCTGATGGCCATGGAACTTGAGTCCTATGAAAAACCATGGAGTTTGATTACACACGACAGACCACAAATAACTTTACTTCCAATCATTTTTGTGCATGTCTGAAGTCGCCATAGTTCTTTATCCCACAAATGGCACTAAACTTTGGCATCCTTGCAATTTAATTATTCTTCTTTGTAAACTTCCACATTTTGTTGATTGGAAAACCATGTGGTGTGTAGCCTTCTTTATTCCTCATTGATTTGTAGGAGAACTTGATTACATTTGGGCCGGCCACACTCAGTATAGGTCAGGCTGGTGTCAGGGTGGGGCCAATACTACCTATGGGAGGGTCAGAGCACTGTGTCAGTGGGGGGTGGGTCTGTTTTGGGATGCAGTCAGGACTTTCAGCCTGTTGGGACCCCGGTGAGTTCCCGGTCAGAACTATAGAGGAGTGGGAGAGGTGTGAAGACAGGTCTTGTCCTCTCATCAGGAAACCTACACAAGAAGACCACAGCCATGCTGGGTATCAGTCAAATAACATTGTTCATCATCATTCAGGAGAGCAGAAAGAAGCTGTCTAAGAAAAAAAAAAATTGTTTCCAGGCTTATTTCTATAATTTATTTAATTGCACAGGGGCTTCAAGGCTCAAAAGCAGCTCTCCATCTAAATGAGACTGAGGGCCCAAAGTTCTCAAGAGGTACTTGATAAAAAATTGTGCCCCTGTCTGTGATGGCCATGGCTACCACAAATGCCTCACAGTCACTCAGAGACTTTTGCTTCTGTAGCAGGTCCTCTCCAGATAACTCCAACCTGCAGTGGCTCAACATGACTCAACACTTTGGGACCCTTCGGTGGTCCTTAGTGTGGAGTGCAAGGAGCCCCTGCCCTAATCATGCCTAAGCAGAAATATTGTGGGTATCTTGGAAGGACACTGTACATGCCTGAGTTCACCTTTTAAATTCCAATAAGATTAATTCCCCATCTCCTTATACAAACAGTTCCTATACCACTTTGCCTTCTGCAGCAGCATAACTCCTAATGAAGTAGATGGTAGAGTTTGTATATTCATGACTGTCATCTCAACTAGAGCAGATCAAGTTGGTTACACTGAAAAATGGCACACCAGGCAGGTCAGCCTGAAGGTGGCAAGCACAGAGAGTGACCTGGAGCAGTGGAGAACTGCAGGAGCTGCTAGGTGCAGCTGTCAGATGGTCTCCAGGGAACTGATGGAAGTGGCTGGCTACTGATCCCAAGAAGGCAATGGGAGTTTCTATCACTAGGAGCTGAGGGTCCTTGACATTCCAGTTCAGAACTAGTAACAATAAAACCTGAGAGCCACCAGTTAGTCCTGAGACTTCAGAGCTGTGAATACCAAGGGAGATGTGCTTTGCCCCTTTGTGATTTCTCTTCATAGCAGAGAATCATAGATTGTTGGTAAGGGAGATGTTTAAGGGGCACAGATCATGGAGGGATACACAGAGAAGATCCCCTAAACCAAGAGAGGCCTTTTCCATGGGGTGATGAGTTGGGTTTTGGAATCTTGTTTGTTTTCTCCCAGGTTTAGGGGGAGGACCAGTCTAAATCTGGAAACAAGACCCAATAGATGGACACTTGTGCACCCTGGGTCCTGACAACCCCAGAAATCTCACTGCATGGATGTGCACAGAAAACATGGCAGAAGGCAGCAGCCAGAGAAGATTTTTTTTCTACCAAACTGCCTTTATTCCCATTGACAGTCAAACAAGGTACAGCTTCCCACCCAGGCTTGAACATTGTGACCCTCCCCTCTCAGTAACTTCCTGCTGCTCTCTTTCTACATTCCCTATACCCTCCCACTCCCTTCATTTTTCTGAGATCCCACAGGAACTGTCCTATGTGAGGAAGAACCTTTGGCCCTTCCAGTGCAGAATGAAGCAAAGGTGAAATCTTGCCTGAGGAGCAGCCAACCCAGAGGCCACTGGCCAACATGACTGTCCTCAGGGCCTCTTCTTCTTTTGGTTGTCTCAAGATGTGCACTTCCTCTTCTGAGGCTGTGAGGTTTGAGCCAGCTCCAGATCCATATCTTGCCCTCCAAAGACCTTTAGGGGAGACCCAGTACAGGGCATTTTTTCTATGAAGCATGAGTGTCCAGTGAGAGTGCTCTTCATGGACATGGCACCTGGAGGAGGGTGGGAGCTGAGGCGTCCTCTCTGGGGAGTTGGGGCCTGGAGTGCTTGATCTCCTGAGCACAGGGTTTCTATTGGAGGGGCTTGGCTCTGGGACAGTCCCCAGGGCAGCAGGCGGTGCTGGGAGCTAAGGAGGAAATTCGGGCTTTGGGGGTCATCATCCACACTGCAGCCATTGGCCTAGAAGAAGTGGCTTTTCTGTGATCCACTGTGCCTTTGTTTCCCAGGTTTAAGGAGGAGGATATGCAGTTCTGGAGAGGATGGTTGGAGTGGATGGTCCCCAATGATGAAGATCAGTGACATCCTTGGAGGATAGCAGTGTCCTTTGAACCCAGCAACTCTGGCTTGGTGGGCCTGCACCTCTTCATGACCTGGGAAGCCACTTCTGTGGACCAGTCCTCCATGCTGGCCCCTTGATCAGTGCAATGTTTCCACTTCTCTGCACCTTGTTTGGCAGCTTCCTCGGAAGCACCTTGTGTCCAGTTGGGACATACCATGACCTTGAGGCACCTGCAAAGGTGCTTCTTCACAAGCTGAAGGAGGATATGGGTACTGGCCAACTTTTCTTTATGCATGAAATGGGCCACAGGGATCAGGACAATCATATTTCAGTGGGAGGTGGGAAGTGGGGCTGTCACTCATCTTGGTCTCAGAGAAACCTGGCCACCCTCCTTTCTGCTTGATATCCTGAACCCTTCCATGACTCTCATGTCTCCTTCCTTTTTTTTCCATCCTACATCCTGTGTCCTGGAACAGACTCACTCAGGGAGCCGTCACAAACAGGATAAGGATAAACAAAGTCCCATGAGCCACATGAGTAAGGTCCTGTGCCTTCCTCATCTACCTGCTATCCCTTGCTTCCCTCTCCAACTGTGGTCACTCCCTTTTCTGTTTATTTGTGACCCTTTGTCTCCTAGTCTGCCATGTATTTCTCTGTGCCTTGGTGTCTGTTCCCAAACCCTGGTAAACCTGGTATATCTACCTCCTTAGTTCTACCTGGTGCCCCTTTCTCCTTGTCTACCTTTTGTTTCTCCCCTACCCCTGTTTTTTCCTGGTGTCCCTGCACTTCTTTATCAGGTGTCCCTGCCTCTCTTCTGTACCTCCTACCCCTGGTCTACTGGGAGACCTTCCTTCTGCTTTCTACCTGGTCAGTGGTGAGTCCTTCCTGCTGATCCAACTCTTTTGTTAGGGCCAAGATATTTATATATGGTTTGGAGGAAAGTATTTCTTCCAGGAAGCAGGTATGAATCACATTCTCTGCCTGGGATGAGAAGGAAGAGAGTGTGAGTGACCTTGGGAGGAAATGGCCCCAAGTCAGGAGGCAAAAGCAAGTCTAGGAGAAAGAGGAAGCAATAATGATCCCATTTTCATCTGAACCATGGGGTTGTTATATCCCAACTATCAGCTACACCCATGTATGAGTGCACATGTGTGCATGCACATTCTCTCTCTCTCTCTCTCTCTCTCTCTCTCTCTCTCTCTCTCTCTCTCACACACACACACACACACACACACACACACAAACACACACAAAATGCTGAGATTCTAAGTCAGGAAGCTCAATTCCATGAGTCCTGAAACCTTGAGTACACCAAGATTGTAGGTCCAGCTTACCTTGTTGACAAAGCCCTCATCAACATAGCTCAGGAGACATGGATCTGGGTATAAATCATCCTGTATTGGATGTTGCTCTAGTCCTTCCTCTCCCAAGTTTTCAGCAAGCTCTTCTGTGGACAAGTAGGAGGGCTCCCACGTGGCAAAGTTAGTAGGCCCAAATAACTCATCCATGATGTCCATGTGCTCTTGGATGGCTTCAGGTGGGATCTCCTTGGGTGCCTTGGTCTCAGGCCCTTTGTTCTTGGCCACCTTGTTCTTGCATGCCTTGGTCTTGTGTGCCTTTATCTCAGGCACCTTGGTCTCTGGTGCCTTGTGTTTGGCTGCTAATGAATGGGCAGGCCGTGCCTTAGGGTTGGTCTTTTTGGAGGTGCACACTAGGACAGGGAAGAACAAATAGTGCGTGAATGAGGGATCCATGTTCATCCCAAACACTGGGTAGTAGGCAGGGTTCAGGGGACCTAACCTGGTATGCTCTGCATGAGGACAACCTGACCCAGGACCTGAGGGATATAACAGTGCACCAGATACAACATCTAGGATAGTCAAGTGAGAGGACATTTGTAGCGAATGGTATTGCATGCACTCTACCCTACCAGGACCCAAGTCCCAGGCAGATTGTGTATTGTTTCTTTGTATAGATAAGGAGAGAAAGGAGATCTGTACTTGGCCCAGTCAATACACAATTGAAAGCTGGATGGCCGGGACCTCAGATGCTAGGGGCTGTTTGCTTGTAAGACTGAATCTCCCATACTGAAGGAAAAATTCTTATTTGGGACAATAACTTGCCTTAGCCTTTGTCACTGTTTGGACACTATCATAAGCTACTGTGGGAATGTGTGAACCCTACCTGGCTTTTGGACAGCCTCGGGAACTGGAGGCCTTGGAATTTCCATCCTCGGAGTTGCAGGAGGTGGTTGGCACTGGAAGACCCCCTTGGATCCTCCATCTCCTCAGCAGCCTCAAACTCCATGAACGTCGGTGAAATTTGGGTAAGGCAGGCAAAGGCTGGAACTGAGAATCAGGGTAGCCATACCAGACAGGTGCTGGTGTGGGATTCTAGGCTATGGAGTATTCTAAGATACCAGTCAGGAGCTAGTGGCAGGGATGCCGAGCTGTGTCCTGGAGTGGGTCAGGCCAGCACAAGGAGGGAGCTGCTACACAGGAAGAACAGCAGTTCTCAGGAAACACTACATCAACTAGCACCTGAAGGGAAATCAGATCTGAGGGACCCCAATAGGGGCCCTAGCTGACCCTTGTTCTGGCTCTCTCCTGTTTCTTCCAGGAACCAAATGATCAGTTTATTTCTAGAAACTGGTCAGGGATATGATTTACTTAAAAGAACACCAGAGGTCCTGACCCAATTCAGGGGTACTGAGGCTGGGACCATGGGCCCTGAAAGGATCACCTGGGAGACCAAGTTACAGGCAGGGTCATGTGGAAGTGAAAGCTAAGCTGAGAACATTGGGTTGCTTCCAATGGGGGCTGGTTCTTCCCTTGTTAGAATGGCAGGGATTGCATAGAGCAAAGGCACCAGAGATATGTCCTGGGGGCATCTGAGGTGCTGGATGGCCCTGACAATGCACTCCCCACCACCATCCTCTTCTGGAACATCAGGTTGAAGTAGTGGCCACTTTCATGAGTTATAATTGACCCTACTCCATAAAGAGGTACCAGTTCCCAGGCAGGTGGTCTGAGTGAATCCAGTGCAACTTTTCCCCTCTGCAGAGCCAGCAAAGCAGAAGCGGATTATTTTTTTTGGTAATGGGGAGTGAACCCAGGTGCACTTGACCACTGAGCCACATCCATGGCCCTTTTTTTAAATCTTATTTTGAGATTTTAAAGTTGCTCAGGCTGGCCTTGAACTTATGATACTCCTGACTTGGCCTCCCAAGTCTCTGGGATTTCAGGCATGTACCACCACACCTGGCTTAAAAGTTAGTTTTTTGTTTTTTGTTTTTTTTTAATGGTAGTAAACATAACCTAAATTTTAGCATTTCAACCATTTTCCAGTATTTGCAATGTGTCAATGACATCACATTGTCACACAACCAAACTAGAACTTTTTTCATCTTGCAAAACTGAAACTCTATCCTCATTAAAGACTAACTCCCCTTCCCTGGCCCCTGGCAAGCAACACTACTCTGAGTGTGAGGACGCTAGGGACCTCATGGGTGGAATCACATGGTAATTGTCCTTTTGTGGTCTGCTTTGGTTCATTAGCTCAATATCCTCAGCACAGGTCTGCGCTGCAGCATGTGACTGAACCTGTCTCCATGTGAAGGCTTAGCACTCTGTATGAGTGCCACCTCTCCCTCCTCCATTCAACCTTCCACAGTCCCTTGGATTCACTGAGTCTTTTCTCCAGCTGCCTTGGAGAAAGTCTTTCTTTGGTGCCCAGCAGCTATGACTGTGCCAGATTTGAATGGCCTGCCCCTGTCCTCCCTGGAGTCTTTAGGCTTCTTAGGCAGCACTCTCTGTTCTGGGAAACTCAGCACAATCTTTCCATCTTTCCTCTGGCCTCTTTCTCCTCTTTGCTCACCTGGTTTTCACCCACAGACCTCAGAAGTTCTGTTCTGCTTTTCTCCCCTCTGCTCCTTCTCTGTGTGAGCATGACATTTCTACTGCCCAGTCCCCAGTCCTCTGGTTCTTGGCCCCTTCCCCGCTGCTGTCTCCAGATGGCTGCTGAGCCATCAAGAAGAGTCTCCTTCTGCACTCCAGGTGTCATCTGTGGCCTTCCGACTTGGCAATTTTCTTAATACCCATGGTTTCCAATTGAAAGGGTAAAGTCTCTAAGCTGCAAAGCCTGAGTTAAAATGTAAAGGACCAGGTATTGTTAAGTTTCTAAGCTACACTAAAAGCCTGAAATTCCTGTAGCTGTTAGGACAATTCCCAGGACTGCCCATTAGATAATCCCCCCTGACCACTTAGTTGTTTAACAACTAAGACCCAGTGCAGTTCAGCATGTAGGCACCTCAGGGCCTAAACCAATCAGTTTGAATGTATCCCCCTCCTTAGGACTGACCTATCACTCCAGCCCGACCTGTTGCCGCCAATGAATGTACTAATCATGTTTGAGAATTGTTGTTTGATTTTCCCGCGGTGTATGGTGATTTGTTAAAGCGGACTGTGATGTATGTAAAGTCCCTGCCCTCCCTAAAAATGTGTACTTAAGCACTGCTCAACCCCTGCTCAGGGCTCTGGGCCGCTCTCCCTTCTTGAGTGAGCACGGAGCCCCAGTGCGCTGGATCCTCAATAAACCCCCTTTTGCTGTTGCATGAGTCGGTCTCTTGGTGGTCTCTTCCTCCGACGTTCGCTGGACCCTTACACAATGCTCTTCTGAAATTCCCCAACTGTTCAAAACATCGTCCACTTTTTCTGAAGGTCCTTTACCATATTCCTCATGTTTGTTTTTAACACCCTCCCTGAATCCCCCCACAGGAGCTATCTGTGGGTTTCACCCCCCCATTTCCTCCCTGGCCATGCAGCATGAGGGAGAGGAGCCAGGGCTTTGCTGTAGCTTAATGAGACTCAGACCATGGAAGTTTTCAATCCGTTGACAGAAAGGTCACAGTACCCCTAGCAGAAGCCAGAATCTGAGTGTCCACAGAAACTGGCTCCTATCTCCTGCTTCAGCCTTCAGCAAGCTCCGTGCATCTACATCTCAGGAACGGTGACTTTTCCAATTTTCAGTCCCTCTCCCCACTGGATGGCCACTGTCTTGTACACACTGCAGGGCCCAGTGAGCCCATGGTCATTGTCTCTGTACTCTTGCCCACCAAGACTTCCACACTCCAGGAGGCCTGAGCCTCCCACCTACAGGACAGCACACCATTCTCACAATTAGAGAGCAGAGAGTGTGGAAGTCCTCTGCTTCTCCTGGCCAGTTCTCTGGCCTAAGCCTTATGGCCAGCAAAAAGTGGATATTGCTCCAGCCCTGCAAAAATGCAATCACCACCCCTCACCTCAGGTAAAAGGCAAGGTCAGAGGCAAGATCATGAACTAAGGTTTGCCATATGTGGGGCTGTGTCCTGGGACACACAGAGGTGCTTAATGTCTGTCACACAAATGAGTAAACACACATTAATACAGTCATAAGAGAAAGACTGCCCAGCACAGTAGCCACACCTGTGATCCCAGTTGCTCCAGAGACAGGAAGATCATGAGTTCAGGCCAGGCCAGGCAACTTAGCAAGACCTGTCTCAAAAATTGAAAATTTAAGAAAGGACTGGGGATGTAGCTCAGTGTCAAAGTGCTAAAGAATCATTATTCCAAGATGCGCTTATATAAATGCAGCTTTACAACTTACTCATTTAGCCATTTTTCCTGAAACTGAGAGAAGGAGATTCCCTTAAGGGCAGCCCAGATGTTCTCAGGCTGGCTCACAAAGTCCTTTCTTGGAGGAACCAGCTGCATACAGTAGTGCAGGACAGGGAGGATGCCCAGCCAGTCGACGACTCTTACATCTATGCACCTTTGGCACAGGTTGACCAAGTACTCTTGCCATCTGGAAGGGAATCAAGACCTAATGTGACCTGTAGTTGGCTGTGTCCAACATGCCCTGTGGTCCAATGTCTCAGGAGGGCAACCAGCAGAAGTAGCAAGTGGCGCACCTGAACTGAGTTCCAGATCAGGAGACATAGGGTGGCAAGGGGGACAAGTTCCCTGGACCCCATCCCAGTGCACCAGAATGTCATGAATCCCAACAAACTCCCACGGGTGTCATTTCCACCTACACAACAGCTGAGGTATTGAGGCCCTTGGTTTCTAGCCAAGAATTCACACAGAGCCTAGGGTTTAAACCAGGCAGTCTGGCAAAGGTGAACCTAAACACAAAGCAAACTTTTTTCTTTGTTTTGAACTGGGAATTGAACCCAGGGACACACTACTACTAAGCTATATTCTCAGCCTTTTTTTATTTTGAGACATGGTCTTCTTCAGTTTCTGAGACTGGTCTCAAACTTGCAATCCTCCTGCCTCAGCCTCCTGAGTCACTGGGATTACAGGCATGTGCCACTGTGCCCAGCTACAAAGCCACTTTTTAAAAGGAACAACTCATGGTGTGTGTCTCACAGGCACAGAAATAGATGCTTTTTCCTTCTCTCACCCCCACACAGCTGTTTGTAGATTTCCTAACCAATGTTTCTCTTTCACAAAGGGCACAGCAACTGCCTGGGTCTTTAAAACTTAGGAAACCCACAGGTACTAAGAGCTCAGGAAAGGCTGCCTGATTTTACCCAAGCTCAAACCAAACAGAAGCAGAAGAGACCCTGATTGTCCGAGCACAGCAGCTCAGAAGAGGTCTCCCCAACCACATAAAAGGCCATGGCTGACCCAGCAGGGGCAGTGTGCTTCCAGAGCTACCGACACAGGTGGGACAGCAGGAACAGCATCCCTGCGGGTTCTGCAGCATTCCTAGGTGACACCTGCAGGCAGGCCTGGGCCCCAGTACTAAGGCATGCTGAGCATGAAGAGGAAGGTCCTCCCAGGAGCACTTCTGTCATGTATTTTATATTCATTTATTTTTTCCAGTTGCCCGGGCTGGCTGTAAGCTCTTGGGTTCAAGCAACCCTCCTGCCTCAACCTCCCACGTAACTGGGATGACAGTGTTGCGGTGGTGCCTGGCTCTGTGAAGTTTTTTGAAGTCAGGGTATTCAGGAGAACACAGAATTTAACAACACTAGCAATGAAAGACTGCCAGGAAAATGACAGGAGCAAATGGTGACATGACTGTGGTTTTATTTTTCCCAGTGTGTGCACAGCCTTTCTCTAACAAGCACTTAGCTCTGTAATCAGATAAAAATCATGATAAATGCCTATGAAACCTCTGAAAACAAAACAAAACAAAACAAAACAAAAACATGGGATACCTCTCAGATGTGCCCAGGATGTGGTGGAGTTCACTGTGTAGGACATCTGGAGAACAGGTGCTGGGGCAGAGGATGGAGCACAGTGAGGTCAGGTCACCCTCTGATAAGCAGAGTTTGGTATCTTCCACCAGGAAAAGGAGGACAAGGCCCATCCTCATTCTGCTCCTCACAGGCCAGCCTTCAGGCAGGGCGTCCCCACTTCTTCCTTCCAGACCCGGTTTAATCTGCTTTTTCAAACACTCCCATAGGTGTTTTCTCACCTGATGCAGGGGAAAAAGAGGCACCACTGTCCCTGGAGTGCATGCCCTGGAGGCTGAAGGATTCTTGGGCAGGGGATCAAGGCCCTGAGGCACGGGAGCTCTGGGGAGGGTCCCACCTCCCTCGCCTCCCCAACTCCCAGGCACACTGAGGTTCTGGGACAGCAGAAGCTCAGGGATGCTCAGTCCCAAACCCTGCAGTGAGGTGGGTCTGGGAGACCCCTGGATGCTCTTGAGAGCTCAATGTCAAACACAGAGAGAGCACCATCTCTGTCTCCAAGCCACAGTGTGGCTGAAGGGGCAATGGTGGGCTCCACCCTTTCTTTCAACTCTGCCTAGGCCTTGAAAGAACTCAAGATCAGTGCTGGGAGTGAGGCTCAGAGGTGCAATCAGAAGAAGGGACATGGGGGCAGGGGATTCCCAAGAGGTAGAGCAGGAAAAGAAGGAAAGGAAAGGTCCTCCTGCCCACCCACCTTGGCACCTTCCCCAGTCAGTCCCAGGGTCTCCTTACTGGTAGTAGTCAGGGGACCCTGCCCACCCATACCAGAGCTGCTGGTGACTGGGGAAGCCTGATACCTCTTCCTCTTTGAGGCCCAGGCTGTGCCAGGGCTGTGCTTTCCCTTCGTAAATCATAGGCACTTGGAAAACAGAATAAAACTGCTGGGAGTAGGTGAAGAATTTCTGCAGGTTGACGAGGTTCCAGGTCTGGAGGTTGCTGAAGATGCGGCCCAGCATGATCTCGGCTGCTATCTTCTTCCCCTTCACCAGCTCCTTCTTCATATTATTAGTGAAGAAGTTCTGAAATTTCTGGAATGTCCCAGGAGGCTTTGTGCAAATTATGTCATCATATTGATGCCAGTCTATGGGTGATAGCAAGAAAAATGTCACACTTAAGATCTCAAAACCCACCAGCCCAAGGCACCATCCCAGAAGACAAACACAGGGGCATAGCTGGGCACAGTGGTACATGTCTGTAATGCTAGTATCTAAGGAGGCTAAGGCAGGAGGATCACAGGTTGGAGGTCAACCTCAGCAACTTAGGGAGGCCCTGACTAAAAAATAAACAGACAGGAAACTGGGGAGCACAGCCAGAGGATGAAAGAACGGAAGGAAAACAAGAGGATTCTGGTAAATTGAGGCAATCAGAACTCACTCCATCAGCTACTATGGCCATGCCCCTAGAGACAGAAATCCCAGACAACCCACAATGATGAGCTTAAAACCAAGTCTCTGCTTAGTCATGCAGTTCAGAAAGCCTGGTAAAAGCTTTAAACATGACCACACGCAGGTTAAACATTTATTCCAAAACTACATCTCTCATTAGCAACTGAGTCCTGTTCTGGTAAATGACTTCAGAGTACCTATTGGGAACAGAAACACCCACTCCAAAGAGGACAGTGCAGATTACCCAGCAGACACAGAGATACTAGCAGGTGCCCACTACAAGGCAAGGACTGAATTCAAGTCTGATCTGAAATCCAGCTTGCAAGAGACACAATTATAGACCTAGAAAATCCAGTGATGTCAACTGTAAAAAATTAGAAAACAAAAGTGGTTAGCCAAGCACCATGATGCATGGCTGTACTCCAGGCAATTTAGGAGGCTGAAGCGGGAGGATCAAAATTTTGAGGGCAGCTGGGTAATTTAGCAAAACCTGACTCAAAATTTAAAAGAGCTAGGGATCTAGCTCAGGGGTAGAGGATTTATCCAGCATGCATGAGGCCCCAGCATTGTCAAAAAAAAAAAAAAAAAACAAGAAATAAAAAAAAAGAAAGAGAAGAAAAAAGACAGAAAACTTATAAGGTGGTCAGAGGTAGCTGAGCACCATGGTACATTCCTGTAATCCCGGCGACTCTAGAGGCTGAGGCAAAAGGATTGCAAGGTCAAGGCCAACCTCAGCAACTTCAGAGGCCCTAAGCTAATTAGGGAGATCTTGTCTGTAAACAAAAAATAAAAAGAGCTGGGGACATGGCTCAGTGGTAAAGTGCCCCTGGGTTTAATCCCTACTACCAAAAAAAAAAAAAAAAAAAAAAAAAAAAGCCCTATGTGTAGAAAGACACACACAAATAGCAGTGAAATATTAAGACAGATGCTGAGCAGGACTCCTGAGGCCCAAAGCAAGCACTGTGCACACTACT